CCTGGAGCGACCGTTTGCCTCCTTTGTTTTTTGATAGGCTTGTCTGAGCTCCTTGACTTTCACGCGGCACTGATCTGAGTCCCTATTGTGGCCTCTCTCCATCATACCCTTGGAGATTTTTTCAAAAGTTTTGGCATTTCGTCTTTTAGAACGAAGTTCTGCAAGCACTGAATCCTCTCCCCATACAGCGATCAGATCCAGTACCTCCCGTACGGTCCATGCTGGTGCTCTTTTTCGATTATCGGCCTGCATGGTTACCTGTGCTGATGACCTATCTGTGGTCACCTGTGCTCTCCACGCTGGGCAAACAGGAAATGAAATTCAAATGTTCGCGGGGCTTTTCCTGTCTACCTGGCCAGTGCATCAGAGTTTAGATTGCTGTCCAGAGCGGTCACAATGATGCACTGTGGGATAGCTCCCGGAGGCCAATACCATCGAATTGCGGCCACACTATCCCTAATTCGAAATGTTAAAATCGATTTTGGCGCTACTCCGCTCGTCGGGGTGGAGTACAGCAATCGATTTAAAGGGCCCTTTACATCAAAATAAATAGCATCGTTGTGTGGACGGTTGCAGGGTAAATTCGAATTAAAGCTGATAAATCCGAATTAAAGTCGTAGTGTAGACCAGGCCTAAGTGTGCACGATCCAGCTGAGCTTACTGAAACAACAGACTCCAGGCACGGGCTAGATAGTGTGGATTTCCATATATAAGAAATTGGAAATTCACCTAATTCTCTATCTCTATTAGCTCACTAAAACAAAGGAACAGGAAACAGTTGAATGTGAGGCATCACTATCCACCCTCCCACCACTCCAAAAAGAGGATGTATACAGGTCTGCTTCACAGCAATCATTAGAGTTTATTGGTAAACAGCAACACCAGCATTAGAAGTGTCAGTAGAAAAATAGAATTTACTTTTACATTGTTTTCTGTTATACAAAGATTTGTTCATATTGGCTGTAGCAGTGAGTGAGATACACAGGGAGGCTGATTTGGTTCAAACCAGCACACAGTAAGTGCACACACATGAACAGCAGGACCATGAACCTCTGCTCCAGGCATAAAATGACTCCAGTGCAGAAGGCCTCTTGCCAGGCTCTTTGCTTCACTTAAGCCTTTGATTAGGCCCTCTGGCCTAGGGTGAAATGCACCTTCAACAGTCAGTCAACAGCACCTGTGCTTTCACATTTTTCAACAAGTTCTTTGCTAGTTTTGGTCATTTTGCCCCATGATGCAGAAGGAATTGCACTGCACCAAAACAAGTCTGGGTCATTTTAACAGCCCCATGCAACAGCTGCACAGATCTTTGATTAAAAAGTTGGTGACAAAGAGCTACCTTCTAGGCACCAACTGTTATTACAGTGTCTTCACTGGCTCTTAAGATTCAGTCCCTCCCTGCCCCCTGGTAAATATTTTTATGTACAGGCTGAGGGCCAGATCCTCAGTTTTTGTAAACTAGCATAGCCCTATTTATTTCAATGACACTACATCCATTCATACCAACTGAAGATTAACTGTGAGCTTCTTATACTTGCTTAATTAAGTTTGAAAGGTCATTAAGGAACTGAGCAAGCACATTTGATGGTGGGGGTGGAAGACAGACATTGCTTTTAATAATTATTTGTTATATCAGCTCACAAGAGCTCCTTTTGGGTTAGGTTTATTGCGTGGGAAAGGAGAGAGAAGGATGTCTCCCCTGTAGCCTTCTGCATTTCAACAGAGGGTGGAGAATAAGACCAGAGAACACTGAAGATAGCAGAGCACTATGAAGTTTTCCCTATCACCAAAACAATATGAACAGCCTTGCCCACGGGACTCAGTATTTGATAAGGCTGGTCACCTTTACAAGACCGCTGAAAAATTCACTGGACCTGGACAAATTCAGATAAACACTACAGATAACAAATCATTCAATACTCAACACCTACTGAAGATGCATATTCACATTCTTCAATATAAGCAGATAAATGGTAGTTAAGGAAATTAAATAGGTAGAAAACAGAACAGCTTCTACGTCTTCCAGTTGCTCTAAGCCATTTTATCTTCATGTTTGTTTCAGCTCATAATTATGAGTTTGTTTCATTCAAGTCCAAACCACAGCAACTAACGGTCAAAAGCACTCTGCTAGTGAGTGGCAATGGAAAGCAGCAGTGCACTACCTGTGAGCCGAGAGATCTTTTAGAACTTTTTGGCACCAGCTCCCGCCTCCCAGCCCTGCTTCATTCACATCCCTACAGGAAGAGTCAGCAGAAGGGCAAAGTTTCCTCTCCAACCCTCTAGATTGGGCGACTGCTGGCTGTTCAACAAAACTGGCTGTTTAGATGAGAGCACCTGCTCTCCAGCTTCATTTATCCCCCTGGATTGTCCTTGTGTGAGACCTGCAGATTCTTTGCTCTTTCATGTCAGGATATCATGAAGCCTTTTCTGTTAAACTCTCCCATAGGGCATGATCCTTGCTCTTGAGAATCCAAACACAGGAGTGGGAACACAGGCACAGGGGGCACTGCAGATGTCTGGAACGCCCGTTTCTAGTGGCCCCCATAAAGAAAAGATTCTAAGATATCGAGTTTACCTGACCCGAGCTCCGTAGCACAAGCCTTTATAGACAAAGGAATTTTGTACCCAACAAAATTCAGGGTCATCCGTGCAAGCAAGCTGTGTTTAGGACATGGGCTATGGTGTGCAGATATTGGAGATAAGTGGGAAAGAGGACAGGATAGAAGGTGACTTTTACATAGCTCATTTCAGACTCTTGGGAAGAAGTCTGAGGTGGCCAAGATAATCCAAGCCTGAGCCACCAGGAGAGAGGGATACAAGGATAATAATGACAGCCCTGTGCATGCAGCATAACACATATAGGATACATTTAGAAGTCCCAGTGTTTAGTACAAGTTACTTGGTGTTCAGTGTGTTACAACAGCAGTTACGTAAAATTTGAACCTTTGCCACCTCAAGACTAGGCATTCACATGAAAGCCTCTCTCAAGATTACACCACAGCTTGTATTTTTTTTTTTAAACTAATGCTGACTGGTCTAGTTTAGACAGATTCTAGGAAGGCATCATCACAATAAACTGCCTCTCCAGGTAACTGTCGATGGGCAACATGAGACTATCTAAATTATGCTAGGACATTTTCTTTATGCTGCGACAAGTGCACTACCTCTCTTCTGACTGTTTATGGTAGATGGCACTCGGTTCAGAGGAAGTGATGGGTGTTACTGTAAAAGGAAGCAGGAATTTAGATGTAAAAGGCAATCTGGTTTGCCTGGTTTGTTAATAAAATAATTAAAACCAAGTTCAGTAAAAAAAATCAACCACTTTTAAAAGTGTCTCCTGAGGAGCGGATGCCCTACTAATGGGCACATCTGATGCTTCCCTTGTAGCAAGCCGAAGGACTCCATTAATTGATCTGGAAATGCAAATACTTTGCCCTTGGCACCATGACAAACAGTGGGGAAGCTGCAGATGGCTACATAGCCTTAAAGGAATGCTTAGGGTTAATCCCCAGGCTCTAGAGAACCAGGGATACACCAGCCCCACAGAAAGCACGTGGCTGTACAAGGGCCCTTACTGCACAAGTGTTTCTGTCAACAGGGCAGAGAAAGGAGTTTAAAATCCTTTTCTTAAAAAACAACAACAACAACAACAGAAGAGATCATGTTTCCTGGCAGTACTAGTCGCTGAAGAAAGGGCAAATCCCCCCGGCACTTTCTGGGACCCCCAAGGAGACATCCAATCTCTGGAGATCTCAGAGACGGTCAGGCCCAGATATTTAGAACGGAGGATGTGCACAGTCTGTCCTTGCAGGTACCATAGTGGCATGTGCAAGTGGCCCGTTAAGACACACAGCTGGCACATGCTGTGACTGCAACTGTGCAGTCATGGAAGCCATGTGCAGAATTCTAAATCTCTGGACCTCTGATTATTACAACATCAAATTAAGACTTGAATTACCATCATGCCATTGTAAACATGTTAAGTACTTAAAGGGAGAACTAACAAAAGCTTAATCAAAGTCAGGCTTTTTCAAGGCTTGGAGATCAAGAGGGATACACACGTGATTTCCAACTACTTGTTGCTGTGGTAGTGGACATTCACCACCATTTGCCCCCTTAGCAGAAGATATATGATGGCTGGTAAGTTTCACTGTAATAGGATGTTATCAATAGTGACCCCATAACATACAATAATTCTCCTGCTTCAGCAATGAATGTGAATGCAATCTGGCACGAATTTCCATTTCCAAGTATCTAAAATGAAGTTTCCTTTTGCTGCTCCCCCCACTAAGCCCAACACTTAGCATTAGAAAGAGGGGGGCTAGAAAGGCCAATTAATATATCTTTAAAAAGTGTTTTAAAAGGTTCAATCACAAAGTGTAAAGTAGCGAGAGGTCAAAGCATTCACTACACTCTGCACCTGCCACGTCATTCAGTAGTAACATTTCTACAGCAGAACCTCTCTATGTCACATTGTGGATTCTTTCTGTTGCTACAACAGTTCATTGTTTTCAACATTATACTAAATGCTACGAACCCCCCCACCCCATCCTATGACTCCTCCCCCCCCCCAAAAAAACCTTGGCACTTAATGTTACCAAAATGTAACAAAATAAATGTTAATAAATTAGCTTCAATTTCAACCAAGTCTACAACAGACTGAAGACTGATCAAACAGTATATTCTGGTTGGAAGATAACGCTTGCAGTAGCATCTGTGAAATATTTAATCCCTTATTTTCCAGGGAAGCGTGTACACAGCTGTACTACAAGAAAATCAAGACAACCCTTTTTACTGTGTCTGCTTTTGTACTTTACAGAAGCCAAGTATAAACAAACCAACTTTGTGTTGCGGAACTTCATTTGGAGCATATAACCCCTCAGATTAGATCTCTTCCCTAGTTTAAGTTATTCTGCTACCAAATCAGCGACGGAACCAGGCCTTTAGAAAACCAAAGACATAACACCTTCCAGGTATGTCCAGGATCTTCGTCTCATGCTGTTTTCTGCCCAGAGATTGAAAAATTGCCACATTCATGGACTACCTCTGCCACGCAGTCAAAATCTTCTCCCCTCCAGATTTGATCTTCAGCCTCAAGTCTCTGATGGAATGCTATAGAGTTGCTAAAATCCGTGAGAAGGAAACCACCATCACACAGAATGTCTGCCCCACACCTAGAGTAAGCGCTTCGAAGGGGATCATTTGTTTTGCAGCAGCTCTGTAAACTCCAGCAATAGCTGCACCTGATAAGAAAAGAGCGTTAATGTGCTATGGCAAGTTTGAGATAGAAACTAAGTTATACACCGCAATGGACAGCAAGGGCCAATCTCACAGTCTGGTCTATTTTTGTATGTTCAGTTTGGGTTATTTAGATGTCCAAACCACTGAATACATTGGGGTTTTACATCTAAATAAAAGAAAATATGCTAGCAAATAACTGTGCTTATAAAAAGCAATATAAACCAAATCTTGCCTGGTCTTTGTAAAGTCTCCAGTCATTAACCAGACATTTGTTTAAACCAAACACTTGAAGTACATTTTAAAAACTAAGTAGTTGGAGAAAAAAAAATGTTGAAATGAAGACTAGTCTTAACTGCTGAATAAAGAGTGATTCTTTCCAACTCTTCACTTCATTAATGCCTACAACAGCACAGTACACTTAGCGAGACACATCAGCGTTCTTTTAATGTAGTTTTAACTATGGAACAGCATTATATCTGAGCCAGACATATACTCCCAGTACAAGGTGGGAGTATGGCAGACAGAGAGAGAATGTTGAACTGGATCCTGAGAAGGACAGCAATAGCACATTACACATACATTGCAATGCGATACCAAGCACAGTCCAGAAGTATAATGGGGAAGGAATAAAATCTTGCTAATGCCTCATTGAATGGCGTATTGTATGGGGCTTCTTTAGATGAACTGTTTATTCAATGCGATGTGGGACTCTGTAGACCAGGATCTTTTGTGCCCATAACTCAGAATCTTTTGTTCAGTTTCAGGCAAACATACAGATCACTGTAAAATATTTTAAATATATTTCAAGTCTGAAAGTGACTAGACGTGCCACAGTTAGATTCCACATTTATCATCCAGCTCAATGTTAATTGTGCTCCATTTGAGCCTGTTTTGAAATCCTCAGTGGAAGGCACTAGAGAAAGAGACCATTAAGGAAGTGGAAGATTGAACAATTGACCAGGGAGGCATATAAAAATATTGCTCAGGCATGCAGGAGTGAAATCAGGAAGGCCAAATCACACTTGGAGTTGCAGCTAGCAAGAGATGTTAAGAGTAACAAGAAGGGTTTCTTCAGGTATGTTGGCAACAAGAAGAAAATCAAGGAAAGTGTGGGCCCCTTACTGAATGAGGGAGGCAACCTAGTGACAGAGGAT